ACTCTTTTATCACTGTTATTTATCAAATTTAATTTATATCCCAAATATATATTTCTCCTAAAAAAGCGACTGAAAGAATCCTTATAAGCTAATTTAATTTTCAGGTGCTTACCGTTTTAAAAGTAAACACGGGTTGTATTGTTTGAGAGATGAGACCGAAAGCCGCAAGAAACAAAGATAACTGCAAGCAGCTCGTGTAAGAACAAAGTGCTGAGTTTGATAGGTTGAAAAAAATCACTTCAGTTGTGTGCGACGAGATTTTAAACTGTAGTTGATAGTATCTCGGTCTGAGATGTATCAACGCGACTTTCCGTTTCGCTCACAATGCTCAATGAAAAACACTGTGGCTCCTTCCTTTAGTATCAAGGTTTGCTCTTCTTGAATTTGATATCTGTTGCGCCTGATTTGAGGTGGCGACGAAAAAAAAAGGGAAAGGAATGTAAGCTAATTTTTTGTTTATTTTTGCTGCTTACCTTTGAACAAGGAAGTGTGTCTTGTTCAGTATTTTGATTGTATGACAAAGGAAGCCCAAAGTAAGAAACTAAAATGACCCGTTCCCTGCAAAACAGAAATGAATGACAATGACTTTTTGTGAAAAAATTAACAGCATAATCGGTAGAACAAAAACAAAATCATTCGGAAAACCTAAAACACAACTACGTCGCTTTCAAACTTCTCCGTAATTGCATTCAAAACATTGCATCTTTGTTCTTTCTACGTAAGAATTTCCCATTCATTCATCGTGTGGCTGCTTTTTCTCTTTCAGTCCCAGACTCGGACATTTAAGAATTGTTGAACACGTAGTTTCTCCCTACAGTATCGATATATTCTTCAGCCACAGTTTTGGAGAATAAAGAAACTTATCAGCTGAACAACGTTAAATTAACGCAACACCTCATTCTCTAAAAATATTTACAGTGACATTTGTTTCATTTAGAAAGGGGACTTGATCATTAGCTATTAGATCATGGAAGTTAAGGGCCTTAAGATGAGTGAATCATTTTTTTTAAAGACTATGATGAGATCAAGGCAAATTTATAGTGACAAAGCGAGAAAAGATTGTGTCTAAATTATTTTTTTAAAACTAACCTTTGAAAAAATAAGCCTGGCTGGTTTAATATTCCAGTAGTATGACTAATAAAACCAACAGTAAGAAACTGAAAAAGAACTTTCTCTGAAAAACAAAGATAAATGCAAAAACCTATTGTAAGAAAGACGTAAACACTTGATAGGTGGAAAAAAGTGATAAATCAAAGAGGGAACAACGGACACCAAAAGTAAAGATTAAGTTCGATTTGTAAAACGCAAGTTTAGAAACCTGAAAATCAATCGCTCTCCATCTTTCACATAAATTATGCGCACAAAACAAATTATCAAAAAAAAAATAGAATTGCCTGCCTTGAATTAATTTGAAATGTAGCAATACTGTGCAATTTGAATATACTCTATGTTACCACCGACATTGACTGAAAAACCTTACGTTACTTAGGACGGCCAAGGAAACATCATGGCTACAAACGGAGATTTTATGATAAGAAGAATCTCTGCCCATGTGATGAACATTTTCACCACAAAAATTTCAATTTCGGATGGCTCTTTCTTCCCAATTTTTTACATTGCAAACACCAACAATGGTTTCCGTCTTTCTTAATCCGAACATTTGTTTTGCCGAAACAATTAACCCCGCGCTTGACGCAATACCAACGTTTAACATTTGTAAACTTTTCAAGACGTTTTCTTGTGCACAGATTAGGCATGCTTAGTGGATTAGATTAATACTGGCGTTTTTATTGTTCTCCAAGCGCTGGATAGTTCTGAATGATACGAATCTAACTCAGCAGGTCAGAAGTAATAGACTTTTTCTTCTTGTGATATAAAAAAACTTTAAACATAAATGGAATTTATTCAGACCGATGTCCTTCTAAAGCAATTCATGATGAGTCAGTACATGAATCGACACAGTAATGGTCCATGTAAGAGCAGCCTAAAATACGTATCGTAAAATCTATGAGATGTCGCATTAGCACACCAGCGAGTTAAAAATGAAATATCGTACTCACCACGACTCTTTGAACCCCTTGTTTCTTTTAAATTAAAGGAAGTGTGTCTTGTTCAGTACTTTGATCGAATGACAGAGGAAGCCGAGAGTAATAAACTAAAATGACACTTTCCCTGCAAAACAGAAATGAATGACGATGACTTTTTGCAAAAAAAGTAACAGCGTAATCGGTCGAACAAAAACCAAATAGTTCGGAAAACCTAAAACACCACTACGTCGCTTTCCAACTTTCCCGTAATTGCATTAAAAACATTGCATCTTTGTTTTTTTTACAGAAAAAATTTCCCATTCATGCATCGTGTGGCTGCTTTTACTCTTTCAGTCCCGACCTAGACACTTCATAACTGTTTAATGTGCAATTTCTCCCTACAGAATCAATATATTATTCAGCCAACAGTTTTGGAGAATAAATAAACTTGTCAGCTGGACGGTGTTAAACTGACGCAACACTTCATTCTCTAAAAATACTTACAGCGACATTTGTAACATTTAGAAAGGAGACTTGAATTGAAATGAGATTATGGAAATTAAGGGCCACGAGATGAGTGGATCGTTTTAGTTTGAAGACTATGATAAGGTCAAGGCAAATCTTTTAGCAACAAAGCGGGAAACGATTGTTTCTAAATTTATTTTTTTAAAACTAACCTCTGAAAAAAGAAGCCGGTCTTGTTTAATATTCCAGTCGTATGACTAATAAAACCAACAGTAAGAAACTGAAATAGAACTCGGCTTTCTCTGAAAAACAAAGACGAAGGCAAATAGCTATGGTAAGAGAGACATAAACACTTGATAGGTGAAAAACAGAATGATAAACCAAAGAGGGAACAACGGACACCAAAAGCAAAGTTTAAGTTCGATTTGTAAACAGCAAGTTTAGGAACCTTAAAATCAATCGCTCTCCATCATCCCCATAAATTAAGTGCACAAATTAAATTCATCAAATAAAAATAGATTTGCTCGCCTTAAATTAATTTGAAATATAGCAAAACTGTGCGATTTGAATATACTCTGCGTTACCACCAACACTAAAAAAACCTTAAGCTACTTAGGACGAAGTACGAAATTAAAATATGAATAAATAGGCGGCCTCTTCTAACCTGAGATATTTAGAAAAGAGCAAGGGGCGGGGAGGGAGTGTAACGTGTTGTCATCATTCACTAGAATTAATGCAAAATTACTTTTATCAATTATGAATATTTCCTTCACCACTTTTTCAGCGTTATCATATAGACTAACTTTATTAGACCAACATAATTGTCACCATTTTTAAGTTCATATTTATAGTGATAGAAAGTCCCTGTATGATGTCCAAATCAACTATTGCTTGGCCTTTGGCTCAGTTCCCAACGTTTTCCGTTGCTTTCAAGAAGAGAATGTGGGGGCGCTCATGATGGCTTTGTCATGCCTGTGTCTGCGTTAATTCCCAGTCTCCACCTCTTCGTAAAGCCGCTCGATTTGGTTTTTGAAAGTCATGAGTATCGCTGAACGCTTGGCCTTGAAGGTTGGCGTGAGAAGTCCGCCGGTTTTCAATGCTAAACATCTCAGGATGAAGATGGATTTTCTTGACCTTTCAAACAAAGGATATTATTGTGATATATAAGGATGCCTTCCGTTTTTATTTTTAACAAATATGAATTTTTTTTCTTCCATGCTCAGGAAATTTAGAGATTTCTCATTTGGTACAATGAAGTTTGTTGGTTGCCATGGAGACTCCTTGTGACCCGGTGATTATCACGTAAAGGGAAAGTTAAAGAAAAAGTTACCTTTAGTTAAGCTGTGCTTAATAGCATTAAGTTTCCAAAGATTCCAACGAATATATCGTTAAATGGGGAGAGAAAAAACCCTTCCAACTTACATGAAATAAACTCAGGCACAGATGTTTTGTGGTCTATTGTCACAAGTTTCTGAATAATTATAAACAAAAATAACCTGGATCGTTGCCACACATGCAGCCGTGTTTGGGCTCGTCACGCAACGCGCTCCTTTCCTCCATTGGATGAAGAGAGCGAAAAAAGTTTGCGAAGATTTTTCTAGCCTGCGATCAGGCCCTCATTATCAGCATTTGGTCACGAGCGTTTTCTTCGCCCGCGCGAACATACGAGGCCTTTAGGAACACGAGCCAGCGAAAGGTTTGTCCGGGGTCTGGTACTGGTAATTAGTGCCAGATCCTTGACAAACCTCTCCTCGACATGACAACGCATTCTCTACATTGGCGCACCAGGAGTAGGACGAAAGGGAACTAACATGGCACGAAAACAGGGAGACAAAATGGAAGGCAAATCGGAAACTAATTAAGGCAAAACAGTTAAAAACAAAATCAAAAGAGAAAAGAGACGCAAACAGAATGCAAAAAGCAACAACTAAATCATATCATTTTTTTTCATTATATTACGTCATTTATAATTTTACATACTGAAAAAGCAACAACAATCAGTGAAACAAAATCACTGATCAACCTAAATAGAATACTTAACCCTTTAACTACCAGATCAAATTTGTAATTCTCCTTACTGTCAACCATACAATTCTTATGATGTTAGGCAGAGAATTTAGTATTGGATCAACTAATTAACCCTAATTGATAGTTTTCTTTATTCTCATTACTTATTTGGTTGATATTGTATCGATGTGGTAAGGAGAAATTCTGTCTTGGTCACTCATGAGAGTTAAAGGGTTAAAGAATGCCTACTTTTAAAAATATCTATTGTAGCACCTTTCGATTGAGTGACGTAAGTAATCAAAGCAGCCAATCAAAACAGAGCTTCGCGTCAAAATACACGCGAATAGAATTAAGCGCAGGAAAACGTGAGCGACCAAAATACGAATGATTTTAATTCTGCATTGTTTGATTGGTTGCCAAGGTGTCGGGAATATTTTCTAGGCCAGTCACTGAGCGAGGTGAAGGAAGAACGTAAATATTTAGGAAAACATGCGACACTCGTTTGAAAATTGCTCTTGCGATCGAGTTCTCAATCGATCACAACTCTAATTACTTTACAGTTAGTGACCATAGTGTATAAAAGATGATGACTTGTCTTATATATAAAAAAAATTCCCCTTTTTTAGCTATAATACTTCAAACTTACGGAGACATAAAATCTTGACCACCATTATAAATTAACAAAGAAGTGTTTCGTTATTACTAAACTCATTTATGCTGAAAATCACACCAAAATATCGCGTTATTTCCCGATGTTCACCCTAGGTTTAAGAACATCCACAACAAGTACAAAACGAGGTCTTTCGCCAACAGTCAATTTTAAGAAATCCCATGAACAATTTCCCTTTTTGCATAGTTTCATTCAAAAACTGTCCAATATTCCACACTCTACTGGTTTAAATTTCGCGATTAGAGAAAGAGGATAACAAACAAAAAAAGATAAAAACAAAACGAAACATTTTGTCGACAAGGTGACACTGACATAACCAATCAGAAAAAGCACGCTGTTGTTTGCTCCTCGATTGGATGGAAAAAGAAACTCGATCGTTGATTGGTTTCCTATCATCTTCCCGCAGCACAAGTTGCCAAGTTTACACGTAAATTTTGATTGGTCCATGACGTCTTATTCGAGAATTCTGAAACGTGCGCTTCGCTGATTGGCTAGCTATTACTTAGTGTAACTCAGAAAACAGTAAGTAAACGGCACAAAAAGATTTTAAAATATATAAATATTTTTCCAACTCCTGTTCTATCTTACAGACGCAGTGCGACCATGTGTGTGCGAGTTTTGCCTGAAATGGGCTGATTCCCACGTTTTGAAAAACGTTAGAGAAGTCATCAACGGGCTGATGAGGACCTCCGCTCAGGTTGTCGAAACATTAGTCACCAGTCCTCTTCAGGGCAACTCTCGCACGGACGATCATCCTACACGACTGACTTGAACAACGGAGTTAGAAACATTAACTGTAACTTTGTTTTCTACCTAAGCAAATACCTTTCTGTGTAATTGTTTTTTTGAATAAATCAAATTCAACAATATTTATTTTGTATTTAAAAAAGTGTGTAAAGGGAATCGTTCGTATAAGATAATATGGAATTGGATAAAATGAAAGTTATCTTTTAACATTACATTGTATTTACTCCGGTACTGTAGCGTAGAGGTCTTCGAATGTTTGTAGAAAATGTTTTTTCAGGGCTGGCCGCTTGAATTTCAGTGTTGGCGTCAGAAGACCATTTTCGGTCGTGAAAATCTCCGGTGTCAGGAAAATTGCTTTGACCTGAAACAAATAAACATTATTGAAGGGCTGCTCGAACCTTAGAGGTACTAGTGCTTAACATTGCATATTCTCCATACTGTTCTCTATACGTTCCTTAAGGTGCTGACAAGAAGAATTTATTAAACAATCGAGAGCTTCTCTAGTTGGGGATCATTTCCTTTATTCCCATGACCCTAGACTCTTAGGGTTTAAGGGTTAAGAGTTTATATGGCAATTGAGCCCAGTGGCTCGTCTGGGGCCCGTTTCTGGACGGTCCCGGTAGCTCAACGGGCCCGTACAGCTATTCTGTTTTCACTCTAGATGGGGTTTTAAAAAAGGTTTGAAAATTACGCAATAAAACTATCACCTAGAGAAACAAGACGGACTGGTTGGGGTGAAAGAACCAGCTTCTCTATTCTTCAAAATTTGGGTTTTGAAATAAGGCTTTGGGCATGTTAGTCACCGGGACTTTCGAGAAACGGACTGCTGGACGGAGCTCATCCCGGTTTCTTCAGCATGAAACGACTAGGAGTGATGCTACTCCCTACGGATAAATGTTAGTCCATCCCAGGTTACGTTCCCCTTAATTAAAACGATTTGAACCACCACTAAGAACAAAAGAAACTTTAGCAAACGCGAAGGTATAGAGCTCCAAATTTTTGGCTACCTTCTAAGTCTCAAAAACGTCTGTGCTTGCGCCTCCTTTATGAGTACGAGAATAAGCACTCACAACTGATAAAGTCAACGTAACTAGTCATTATTTACCTGCTCAAAAGACTTGAGCTGTTCCTTCTTGCCTTCTGCAATCATCTGATCTAAAATGGCTTTATTTACTTTCTAGAAATTTAGTAAAATACAGCAATTAGATGAGAATTGGCGACAAACTTTGCGGGCCACATTTTCCCTGATTATGATGAGACCGCTGACCAGACTTTGAAAGACATCAACAGGAGTCAACAATGATCATTTCACTCTTAAAACTAACTCTAGCTACGCATGCTCCCGCCTGAAAGGCATATGTCAGACAAATAATACCCGATGTTGACAAAAAGTTAGGGGCGTAAGGACATGAATTACAGATAGAGTCGGCTGTAATATGGGTCGTCGAAGTGAAATATTTCACAAGTAATAGCGTGCAGTGAGTGTATCTGTAGAGAAGAGAATAAACAGAGAAGCCAGTGTTCCATTCTGGCCGACGATTTTGCACGCCCCATCTATGAACACAGAAGGCACAAAAATGGATTCCTTTGGAGGGAGTGGTCGCTTAATTCGAACCAGGTCGATCGGGGCGGGGGAGTCTTCTGTGAGACGGTGGGTGGGGTGGGCGAGGCGCAACTTTCTCTAACCTAAATCTCTCATCCCCTTCCCCTCCAAACAGTGACTGACCACCCGCCTCGTTGTGGTCATCGCAAGGTAAGGAACGCAAAAACAATTCAGAATAATTCCTGCTGGGAAATACATGTTACCAAACGTTTCCAGCTGATATAAAATAACGACACTTATTTCCCGCCAAAGGGACGAGGCTCGTTTGGAAGTAGTAAGCAAACAAAAGGCGCAGATTACCTCGTTGGCACAGAACGAATCCATGTCACCATCAACACCATTCTTCTCGGCCCACTTTTCAACTGGATCTTTCTCAGGCACAACGACAGCTACCAGACAAGACTGAATGACAACAAAAAGACACGAAAATAAGCAAATCAGGAGGCAAAGAGCATTAAATAAACACGACAATGTTAACACTTTGAACCTAAGAGTGACTAACATCTAATTTCTCCTCACAATATCACCCCTGAATCACACATTAATTCCATGAGAATAAAGGAAATGATCACCAACTAAAGAAGCTTTTGATTACGAAACACATTCTCCTTTTCAGCACTTTAAGAAATTTATAGAGAACAGTATGGAGAATACGCAAACTGATATTAAGAAAAGAGTTCGCCAGTTACCTTTTTGCTGTCGCCATGTACATAGACTTGATGAACCATGGAACACTGTGTGTAAACTTTCTCCACCTTCTCTGGTGCGATGTATTCTCCCTGGAGGAACAACAAATTTAAACTCCTAAGCAAGTTCTCTCCCGTAATGATTTACATGCCAAAATTTCAGCTCGCCTAATGACCGAGAGCACTTTAAACGATCTCACACCGAGCGCAGAAAGTCGAAATGCAATAAACATGACTGAAAGAAATCCTATGATGTCTTTTACAATTCAGAAGGAATAAGCACTCGTAACTTTCCTGTAAGTCAAAAGATTCTCCGTGCCCGGTCATTTTACATTATGTTTTTTTGTTTCTAAAAACTTTACTCGTGCTTACTAATTCCAAATTGTACTCAACAACATCCACTCTGTTTCTTTGCGTTAAAAGTGAAACAATCTGATATGTCCATAAAAGATTTATTTTCGTAACACAAATAAATTTACCTGCGATAACTTGAAAATATGTTTTTTCCGATCGATCACCTTCAATGTACCATTCTGCAACAACAAACACAAAATACAACTCACTACTCATTGGAGGTCATTACGCAAGTGTAGCGGTATGGCAGAATATACTGTCTTAACTTGAAAAACGAGTTTCCTCTCTTAAAAATGACAAGTTCGCCACCACCATTATCAGTTTACCCTCTGATCTTCACTCATTTTCTATTTGAGGGCGAGCTTGTTACAACTGATGGGGCGAACTCGTTAAGATGGGAGCTAACTGGTAGAGGGGCGAGTTTGCAACGGGACGAAACCTCCAGATCATTCTACAGCAGGTATATACTGTTTCTCATGAGTACATATTACACTCACCGGCTGCCATTCTCCCACGTCACCCGAGTGAAGCCAACCGTCTTCGTCAATGGCTTCTTTTGTCTTATCCTCGTCGTACAAGTATCCCTTGAACACATTCGGCCCATAAAAGCAAACCTGCCACGTGACATCAGAAAAGTGCCAATCAAAATGTGAGACAAAATTTGAATCAAACGTTGGGGTCAGTGAAAAGATTCTCACGAGGAAGAAAGGGAATCAAAAATGCTAATTTGTAGCCAAAGCAGAAAGATCATCTTGCTGGTTTCAATGATCTTGCTTTGAAATTGGATCATATGCTAATTTTCATATTAGCACATGAAAAAAGACAACAACAAACAGACAACAACAAAAAAAACACGGAGATACAAACCTCGCCTTTTCCTTCTTTGGCGTAATACTCCATTTCAGGAACATCGACAAGTTTAATTTTGTTACAAGGCAGTGGAGGACCAACATGGCCTGACAAAAAGAAATACACCACATCAATGGTATTATTCCAGGGTTCCAGGGTCTGAAGTTAGGTAAACTTACCGAGCTATGATGGCAACCGTAGAGAGGACATTCAATGAATGGCCAAGACTCGGTTTTTCCAAGGGTGGATAACACTATCCCGAAGGTGGAGGCTCCGCTGTTTGCACCTCGCACGCTTTGTAGTAATCATGAAATTGGTGTGCCTGTGACCGTTTGGGATTTTTAACCGATTTATGATACCCCACGGTATCAACGAGCGCTTTCTCGTCACAATATTCCCACCAATAGCGGAGCTCCATTTTCTGTATATAAACCCACACACTACCCACAATTCCTCCAATCGCTATGACGAAGGGCTAACGATCGAAACGTCAGCTCTTAAACTCTTTACGGTAGCCAGTTTAAGTTATCAACTCAGTTGATAATACTAAATTGCCTTGTTATACTCTCCCACTGACGCAGCACCACAGTTTCTTTGCAAATTTACCCCCTTTATTCATGTCTCACTGAAATGCGAGTTTACTTGTCCCACGATAGCCCTGGAAAGCCCAGTTAGGTTCGGGAGTTAACTTTTGCGTTTACAGTTCATATTTAGCTCTCACCATAAGTTTGATCTCCTATCATCTGCAATGTAGCAGCAGCAGTGGTCTCTGTTTGACCATATCCTTCGAAAACCTATGGCGGGTACGAACCAACAACACAAAATCAGCACTATTGATACCTGTATCTGTAGGTCTCCCCTCCTCCTTTCGCCCCGATCTCACAAAATTCCGAAGGATAACACGCATAAACCCGAATTCCATCTTAAATGCAAGTGACATTTTATAAACATCTTGTAAAATGTCGCTGAAGGCTAATTTGCGATCCATCCACAATGATACAGGAAGTTCTTCGCCAAGTGGTTGCAAGGTAATTTTTTCCTTTAACTCTGCAATTTTTTGTATCTACCTGACATCCAAGGGCGCATCTTAGGAAGATCATGACATCATCTCGAAGAGGAGCTGATCCAGAGATAACGAACCGTACCCTTCCACCGAGCGAGTTCTGTGAAATGTAAAATAAAAAAAAATTCCCCGGTTTTTTTCGGAAATTTGGAGTGATTGTCGAATGGATATGAACATAGTTACACAACCAAAGCCAGTGCTGGTAATCATGTGAAAAGAAAAACGGCCCATTGAAACTCCATAATACGTGACTAGGTCGAAGTTGTGTGGTAGTATTCCATCTTAATGGTTCAGGGGCTTTCTAAACCAATCACAGGGCAGCGTTAACCCTTTACACACTAATATCAGTATGCATATTCTCTAGGCACTGACAAGGATAATTTGTGGATAGCTTCGTTAGCTGGTGATCATTTCAATAATTCTCGTGACCTTAGTGTGTGATTTAGGGGTGATATTAGGTGCTAGTCACTCATAAGGGTTAAACGGTGAAGACACATCAGAGCAAGCAATCATATCTGATACACCGCTTCCTCCCAAAGGAACGTGTCAAGTGGCCCATGGGGCCGGCGCTAGACTCCGGTTACCCCCAGCATATTTGCTGGTACCCATTTGTACACCTGGGTGAAGAGAAGCACTGTGAGAGTAAAGTGTCTTGCCTAAGAACACAACACAATGACCCCAGCCAGGGCTCGAACCCGGACCACTCGATCCGGAGTCGAGTGCGCTAACCATGAGGCCACCGCGCCTCCACAGAGCGCTCTCTATACAATTCTACATAAGCACAATCACACAATCTTCAAGTAACTGTTCCGCAGTTTGCCCACAAATCAATTTTACTATCGACGAAGTAGTGAAGGAAGGACGACGTAGTAAGCAAGGAAGGAGGTTCTGAGATTTCAAGAAAATGACTCTTAGAAGATCAGGGTAGTCCTAGAAACTGTCATCACAAACGACATGGATTGATTCCTGGACTACAAGCCTGGAAAATCAATAGAAAACAATACGATAAACGCACCTGGATCTTCTTGAACACAAGGTAGTCCCATATACTATCGTTACGAACTATATTCCTAGAGGAGAGATAGGAAAGTAGAGTCAACAATTTGGAACAGTCCTACAGGCACAAAATACAAAACACCGTTCTTCGCATTTCTGCACATGTTGATTGACAAGTTAACCGAATGGTGAGGGCTTGGCTTGATGTTCTGTGTTCCAAGATACGACCTCTGCTTGGAAATGTGAGCACACAAGGATAGAATAATTGGCATGAAGCCCAAGAGGAGAATCCAAACTTTTAACTTTAAATGTACTTCAGGAACCAGGGTATCGATAAATGGATAGAAGAAGAAAGCGATTACCTCTCTAGCTCTGCCTTCTTGAAACGCATGGCCAAGTTAAAGAGGAAACTCTTCACGGCGCTGGACGACGCCTGTTTTATTACCTGAGAGATTGAAGAAGCGAAAATATTATTAACCCTTTCGACTGCAACATCAGAATGCACATTCTCCGTAATGTTCTTCAGAGCGTTAGGAAAAGAACAGAAAGAAAAATTTTATTTTTCAATTGCGTTTTGCAATGGCAGGTTTTCAGTCAGTGCATTTTTAAATGCACGAACAGAGAATTTGCAACTGCACAACGTGTCCATCACATGAATTAATCTCAGCTGAGATTATCCCTCGTCACAAAGCAGTATAAAACTACAAGAGGCTTCAACTACAATCACACAGTCGTACATACCTTATCATACACTCTGTTAAGCACACGAGGTACAGAGACGAAAATTGTCGGCCTGGAAGCGAATAAAATTAAATAAACTGACTATTAACAACAATTTTATCCAAACCATCCATGGTAGCCTGAAACGGTTGCACAATGCGTACGCCTTTCGAGATTGCATTGGTTAAAACCCAAGTTGAGGTTATTTTCCTTTTCCTTTCCACAATGACGAACAACGAGTGATAAACCTTCGTACCCTAACATCAGTATGCATTTTCTCTGTCTTCTTATCAGCGCCTTAGGAAATTTAAGGAGACCAGTATAGAAAATACGCATGCTAATGTTAGGATGTAAAAGGATTTAGAGAATATGGATTTATACCAAGATACGCTAATCTATTCTCAAAATCTAATTGCTGTATCTAGTATAGATATTGTTAGGAGAAGTTACAGTTCTGGAAGTCACAGCGCTATGCATTGACTTACTTGAGAACTTGCAGATCTTCCAGAATGTTTCTTGCATTGCCACCATAGAAACCGACTTTTCCGCCATATGTGAATAACATCAGCTAGAGGAATGAAAACAGAAAATCAAGTTACAAGGTTTCGAGGAAAAAAGTAATAATAATAATAAAACTTGCAAGTACAAATCCCCGACGAGTTGTCCGACATACGATCAACGCGTCAGCCGATAAACGAACAACGCGTCGGCCGAATAATCAATAAACCATCGGCCGACCCAAGAACTAAGCTAGAAATACGGTCAGCGTGATTAGCGGATGCGGACGCAGCGGCCAACATCCGACTGACGCGTTGCCGGCGCGTTCGCCGACACAAACACAAAGTTTAAAAAAAATACGATCAACGTGATCGACGAAGGCTGACGCGTAGGCCAACAGTCGACTAAGACGTTAACGACGCGTTCGTCAACAAAAACACAAAATAACAAAAATACGGTCAGCGTTGTTAGTGGAGACAAACAGTCAACTGACGCATTGCCAACGCGTTGCCGACGCGTTCCACGACGCAAACGAAATTACGGTCACCATGAAGTGCAAAAACAAGTTACAACCGACGCGTCAACCGACATGTTGACTGCATCGCATTTGTTCACACCACAGGTTACGATGGTTTAAACGTCTGGTTGATTACCAACTTAAACTATTTGTTTCAGAGTTTAGTCACCTGAGCAAGTCTCTCGTACATGTGCGCCAACGGAAGGTACGAAATGTGAACATCCTCACTTGATATCAGAATTCCACACTAATAAACATTGATAGAGTAAGTTAGGGAAAAACACAACAAGTTGAACAGAAAGACGGTGTTTTTCAGCCCAAGGCACAGGTATCCTCGGCAAAAACAATCATAAAAAGGGGGGAAGTTTCAAACGAAACTGAGGTATAACAAGATAATTTGGTTTTATAAACTGAGTTGATGAAGTACATTGGTCACCGCAAGGAGTTTTGAAAGTTGACACTTCAGGCGTTAGCTCTCACGCCATTCGAAGAAGGGCTAACACAACGAAATGTCAGCGTCAGAAACTTTTTATGGTGGCCAATTTACATTATCAACTCAGAAACAACAATAACTGTCGTCACGCAATCCTCTATCTCCTCTTCTCCAGAGAAAACGCAAGTGGAGAAACGCATTGCGTTACATTGCACGGCAAAATACACCGCTAGGTATATGCAAAGTCTTTCCAAGTTCATAGAACACAAAGTAAAAGGAGAGAGCTTAACAAACAAGATTAACAAGCAATATAAGATTATAAGATACCTCTTGAACGAGATAGACGAGTCCAGACAGCATTGCAATCGCATTTTTATGCGTTATCATGGCACCTTTAGCATTACCTGATCAAAATAGATATATTTACAAGCACACGTTATTCTTGTAACGGAAAAGACACACGAGTTATGATAGCTCTAAGTACCACAAGCGAAAAAAAAACCTTTATCGAGCATGGGTGCAACGTTTTTTGTTGGCCATCCAAGAAGAATAAATGTCTTTCCTACAACGAAAAAAACAATCACTGACCTGTTGTACCACTTGTATAGCAGACAACGGCAAGATCCTCTGGCTTAGGAGGCTATTGGAGGAAAAAAAAAGAGAATTTATCACGCTCCACAGAGTTCCTTGCAGAAAAGTTATAGGGCTGAGCAAAACTCACCATTGGCGGATCGGCACGAGCATTTTTTGCCCACTGGAAAGTATTCGACCTGAACAACGCGAACCGGCGGGAGATCTGCAAGGGGTCGGGCACTGATAACGAAGATTTATTAGTGCCAGACCCCCAGCAAACTTCACGACGACTCGTCTCAAATCTTCTCGCGGGCGGAAAAACGCGCGTCCTACAGTGCTAATAAACCAAATAAAAGAAATAAACGATTCGACAAAGACACAACAAGGTAAAAAATACCCAACTGTTTGGGGGGGAGGGGGCAAACCAGTTGAATGTTTCTACTCGTGGCGTAGGATTCTCCAGTTGTGAGGTGTAACGGCTGTTCACTCACCAGTCTCTCGGTTCTGGCCACCGTTTAGTTTCCGGTTCACGTGTGTGGCCGTTTCGTTTCCGATCCAAAGTGTGATTCCCTAGGAATCGCACGTGTTGGAGGTTTCGTTTTGCACTTGCAGTTTGAAGTCATTCGTGAAAAACAGTCCGATTACGTGTCTTTGTTGTGCGTTGGCGACGAATTGGAATCTTTGAAATTAAAGCAGCTAACGGAAGCTATACTCGGTCGGCGAGCCGAAGTGTTTACAGAAGAAAAAGTTGTCCCGCCTAAAACGGTTATCACCGAGGCGAGACAACTCACCCTTCCGAATTGTTTCGAAATTAGTCCTACGCCACGTTAAATTCGTATCACAGCAAAATAGAACTAACGAATTGAACTCTGAAATTCAAGCTACCTTTTCCTGGTGCCTGTGATTTTTTCCTATTTCCTGTTAAAAAAACAACAAACAAACATAAATATAAACACAAGTGAATAAATATCAACGTAAAAATATTAATCAGTGATTCTTGGACAAAACTAACAACATAGCTTCTCCGGTATGTCTTGCACATGTTTACCCTAGAGGGAGCATAGTAACAGTCTGTGTACCTTAAAAAAATCTTGCCTATATTTTATGGTGGCCAGCACCAGATGTTCAAATAGAAACATGCAGAGATAGCATTACAGTAAAAGCAGAGCGAAAAACGGAGAAAAATTTTGCGTTTGTCACGCAAACATCAATTAGAAAATAAAAATTGTTGGGCAAAAACTTTATCCGAATTCCTCCTTTACTGTACTTACTTCTAATTCTCTAAAACAAGTGATTTTGATTCCAACTTTCTCTCCAGCTTCCTTTTCCTCATCTGTGACAGAAGATCCAATCTTTACAATGTTCTTCAACTTGGGACATTTGTCGGACTGTTCCAGCAACACTTTTATCTTGCTTTCATCGCAGACAACAGTTACCATTTTGGCTGCAAATAAAAGAAATTATAATAACCCAAACTTAATTGATATGTTCCTAAACATCCTTCCACTCTCTTGTTTTGGCTGTCATAATCTTAAACATGAAAAGTTTAGGCTAACAAACTTATACCTGTCACGTCATAAATGTTTCAGGTTTCAGCCCTCACTCTTAAAGTTTCTGTCTTAGTCTGTACTCAAGCCAAATGGCCCACACAGCTGGAGGCTATCCAAGTTTTCCTAGCATGACCCAACTAGGAATAATATATAGATTTAGCCAAGCCTAAAAGCGGAGCTCGCATTTTTTTTTCCCGCACGTCTCAAGGGCACAACGCCTTGCCCTGGCCAGGACTAGAACCCGGGTCGTCCGAATCGGAGCCCAGTGAACTGACCACTGTACAGTTGTACCGCCCGCGGTACAGTTGACCACGCATGTTAAAAGTAGCACCTTGTAAGGTCGTGCGGTCGCACGGTCGTACGGTCGTTCGGTCGTACATCCAAATTTTTTCGGCTTGATGGGTTACTACTACTTTGTATAATTATGGGGCTACGCTCTGCGAACTCCGCTATTACCACCCCCTCCTTCCTTCTTGATTTTACAGGACTGCTCAAGGGCTGTCTGAGACAAGGAGAAACTAAGGTAAAATCAGACTACAAGCAGTCCTCCCTTTTTGGCAAAGCCTGTCACACAAATCAAAAAACAAACCCGGGATGAAGACTTGATGTTAGCATGGAGGGAGCAACTTTGGGATTGATTGACTTACCTTGATTAATGATGTAGACACATGACTCTGGACCGAGTGTGTCATACAGTGGAACGATGGTCATTGAGTACATGTTACAAGCTTGTTCAACAAGCACCCACTAGGGAAAAACAATAGAAACATTGAGAAGTTTTCAATAACTTTTCTGGATTTGTGGAAATGACTGAGATAAAGCAAAAGTCAAAGAAAGACTGATGGGTTGATTTTGTTGAGTAATTAAGTCACATTTATTTGAACTTTGCCTTCCTATTTTTTCTTTTTTTTTTAATTTAGTGATGAAGAAACACTATGACTGTAAAGCATGGGCAAATGCAAGATTGGAAAGAAGATGCAATTCAGCTTCTAGGATTTACATATATGTTGTGGTTCAGTTTTCATCTTGCTTTGAACTGTCTAGAAACAGTTTATTACATGTAACCTTTACATTCCTTTGTTTCATAATCTGCCGGAAACAAAAGAGATTTAGAAAAAAAATTGAACAGCAACATACATGTATAGATGCACTAACAGAAAAAAAAACTTGCCAATCATCACATCCACTGAAAAAGAAAAAACTTGAACAAGGCTGTTCACCTCAATTTTATTTGGAGCATAAACACCAATAAAAACATGTTCCTCATCCACTGGTTCTGAGCCAATCTCTATCAATCCTGAACCAGTGTCTGCAGATCTCTCATAGACCTAAGGAAAGATTTACAAAGAAACTATTACAAAAAAGTAATACAGCTGCATCAACTTGGAAGAGTTGGTCTAGTTGCAAAGGAAATCATGAAAAGTAATATTTAACCCTTAAACCCCTAACAGTGACCAGCATCTAATCTCTCCTTACAACATCACCCTTGAATCACACATTAGGATCATGAGAATAAGGCAAATGATCACCAACTATAAAAGAACCACTTGATTAATAAAAAAAGTCTCAAAATCAGCACCTTGGGAAATGTATAAAGAACAATATAAGGAATATGCATACTGATGTTAGGGTATAAAGCATATATATATACATATATATATATATATAACTAACTGCAGACAGTACTGTTTCGGCCTTCTGGGCCTCATCAGTGCAGTGCTGATGCTAGGATGGAGGTAAGGCCATATAGCCACCCCAAGTGATCTCACACATGAGGGATCATCTAAGCCATGCTAGAGTGCTCAAACTAGAAAAACTAGTGAGCATGCATATATATCTACATTGCTATTCCTCTCTCTTTTTTGGCTCTCAAAAAGAATGTTTACACAAACCTACCCCTCTGACACACAGCTCCATTGTGTAAAAACTTCTACAAGTTTTGGCAATTACTCCAAGTTTTTTTTTCCTTATCTTACTATGATACATGTAAACACCCCAACATCATTTCCAAGTCCACCTAAATACCAGGACCCAGTTGTCCAAAGGGCAGATAAGGCTTTCCAACAGATATATTCTTATCAATAGGATAATTGTTTCTCAAATGTAATGCCCAATTAAGAATAGAGATTTATCTAGTAGATAGTGTTATCCACCCCAGTGCTCCATGCCACAACTATTTCAGTTGCCATAGCAAACTAAAAAAGAATCAGTGGCACATGTACAGAAATTATGTAGCAAGTTGTAGCATTATTATGACCTGGCCTGGGTTGTCCAAAGCTAGGTTGAGATAACCCAGGGTGAGTGTGGAATTTGATTTCAGATCTGAAAGCTTTAAAAGGAAGTTTAGATCAAATCTTTTTGCTTGCAATTTGATCATTGGATGTTCTAAAAAGAATAGGGAAAATTTTGCCTAAAAGGCTATTGAACAAAGAAATAAAGAAACCTGGATTTAAATTTAAATTTAACTCTGGGTTTGTGCTAATCACCCTTTGAACAACTGGGCCCTGGTTTTAATTTTTTGAAGAAAATGTTTGCCTTCCTAATCTTCATGACAATTAACCCTTTAACTCCCAGAAGTGATTAACAAGTAACTTCTCCTTACAATATCCATGCACTATCTAGCAGAGAGGTAATGAGAATATTCAAATGTATCGGGTGGAAGTTGTTATATTGATCTAACACCAAATTCTTGTAACTTATTTACAAGGAAATGTGTAAGAGGTAGAGGGGAGAATTAACAGTCAGATCCTGGGAGTTTCTAACCTCATTATAGGTAAGCCAAGCATAGGGTCCTCCAGGACTGCTGCGGTAGCCCAGGCATGGCTTGTCACCTAAATACAACATAAAAAAACTGGTTAATAACCTCCTACACAGAGAAAGCTTTGAAGGCAGACTTAGAAATAAAATTACTGACCAGATAATCTCTTTCCGCGAAGGAAAGCTTCATGGCTTGTGCTCACATCTTCAAATAATTTCTCCACAAGTTCGGTTGTAAGTGAATTCATTCTGGCATAATCTCCATCCTGCATGAGCAAATAATAAATTTTAAAACATTACATTTGGTGATCTGTAAAAATAAGTATTATTATAATTATCATTATTACTGGCAAGGATTTACCATCATAAATAATGGTAATAGGACCGAGTGGAGTCCAATTTAGTCCATAATCATACAAGTGATCAACAAAATCCAAAGACTGTGAAGCAGGAGTGCAATTTGTTAATCATAACTACAATTACAGACAGAATTAGAGAACACAAAGTCCTTTCACTGATTAATCAAAACCATGTCAAAATTTGAGAGAGAAACTAGACATCTGTTGTAAGTTTTCATAAAAAAACAACGTCAGCAAAATGCACAACAGTACATGCTCATGACACATACTGTCCACTTACACAAGCATGACATGTCAACTGTCCTATCACACTGTCTAATTACAAGCATGATATATTCACTGTATGCTGATCTTTTAACTCCCACAAGTGATTAACATACAATTTCTCCCTTCAATTTTTTTGTTTTACATTATACAGCACACAGGTGATAAGAATACTCAAACTCATCAAGTAGAAGTTTTTATCTTGATAAAAAACCAAATTCTTGTATCGAATTTACAAAGAAATGTGAAGCAGCTAGAAGAGAGAATTAACAATCTGATCATGTAGGTTAAAGGGTCAAAGCCACTTTTCTCAATAGAGGGAAAAAGGAGAAAGAGAAAGAAAATGTTTTACTGCTTCACAAGATTGTTTTTTGTACTTGGAAATAAAATATTTGAAATTGGAAAAACTTGAAAGGTTCCCTTCACAACAGATTTTTGCCATTACAAACACCCAATGCCCAATGTAGGTTTGACATAAATTTATTACAAACATCCTCTGTCCATCCATGGAAATAAACTGTTGACACTACAACATTCATGGGTATATTCTCTGTACTGTTCCTACATAAATTTCCCAGAGTGCTGACAAGGAGAATTTGTTGAACATTCAAGAGTTTCTTTAGATGGATATCCATTTCTTTGATTCTCACAGAGGAGAAGAAATTAGATGCTAGTCATTCTTAGGGGTTAAAGGGTTGAGTAATAGGATAGGACTCATCTGTCAAATAAGATAATCCACAAAACTGTCATACAAATTTTGACTGTGTTTATGCATCAGAACAAACTTTAATTAAAAAACTGTGGTCATATTACCTAGTTTAAGCTTTCCTTTACCATTTAAACCCTAAGACTGACCAGCATCGTATTTCCCCTTACAGTTATACTGCTGGAATCATGCATTAGGATCGCGAGAGTAGTAGAAATGATTGTCAATCTAAGAAACTTTGATTGTTTAACAAATTCACCTTGTCAGTAATAGAAGAAAAGTGCAGAGAAGAGTGTGGATAATTTTTCTTTCTGGGTGTTAGGAAAGGTTTAAACTTTCCAAAAAGAAGAAAAAGCGGTCACAGGAGGTCACGTGATGCCTGCGGTTGGCAACATTTCAAAGTTTTGGTTAATTTCCATTAATGGGAGAAATCGTGTTTTGGCAAGAGTATGATTTGGCTTCTGTGCATATCACAGTATCTATTGAAACTTAACACCTCTTATAAATGATGAGTTGCTACAGAATGCCTGAAATCCTTTTTCGGGATACAAACGTAAAGTGATCTGATCGATCGAACCAACGTGGAAGGATGTTCCGGTTGAATTCCACGAAATGAGGGGTTTTGGAAAGTGGATGAAGTATGTCAAATCAAAATCGCAATTTTGTTCAACATAAGAAAGTAAATTTATACAAACAGATCTCTGAAAAAAAACATCGGACGATCATAGTTCAAGCACTTTTTTGCGGTGAAATTAGGGGAGGTGGCGCTGGTACCTTGTCACCATTAAGAATCACGCCAAATTCCATGCATTATGCGAGACGATCAAACCAACAATGAGAATAGCTGATCGTTTCATTGAGGCCATTAGCTTACCGGTAACTCGTAAGATTGTTTCATGGGATCCACAGGACAAGGCTGAGGGGTTGGACGAGAAGTTAAATAATACATCGATGCGACTGCCATAGCTCCAAGTCCTGCAGCAATTGCAGGGTCTCTAAGATACTTCAGAGCTGCTTCGGCTGCGTTATCTGCCATCTTTTTCTCGAATATTTCTCTGATTGTCTGAAAATAACGTCAAAAAGTGAACGTAAATATGCATGACGGAGTAAATATAAGGTTACGAACGTACCTCAGTAGTATAGGTTTGTGAATAAATTATGGTACCTTACAATAGATTGAGGAAAAATTTTCACTTTCTGAAAGGATGTGGTCTGCTGAAACCAAAGAAAGATACTTACGCTAATGTAGTGTAGATTCTGTCTAACCGATAATTTCAGCGAAGAAGCTTATATAGTAGCGGAACACACTTGATTAATCACGAGTTTTTGCCAGTAAACGTAACTGTCACGCTCTTCGACCTTTGGTCAATCATCCGGAGCTTAGGATATGATATGATTCTAGACATGACAGACTATCCAATAGAATGTCGACCGCTGAACACCAAGGTTAAAAAAATTTTCAAACAGTTTTCAATAGATAGCTAGCAAGATATCTAGCTATGACCTTTGCCAGTTCAAAGATAAATGGACGAAATGGAAAAAGACCCATCAATTACCCTTCGACCACGCTTTTCCGACAAATCCACCGGCGCATTTTGGTATTTTTTTGCGCGCAGATCCTTCATTCCGAAAAACAGTGGTTCTTGAATTACTAAGTTCAAGTAGAAATCCTCACATAAGTTATTTAAGCTTTGATTGATAAGGAGATCGGAGTTTGAACAGGATTATTCGTGTATAAAAAAATGAAAGAATTTAAATTAGTGGGAAGGTCACCCATGGCCAAGATGAGAATTGAACGTTGCCCTTTCTTAGTCCCAGTCTCTCGTCGAGTAATCCGTCTTTGATCCATGATCGTGCAAGTAAACCTCGACTAGTAGCATACCTTCCCAAGTTATGGCTTCCCTCTTTCAATGTACCGCTTCAAAGCTGCCATGTGCTCAGATTCTGAGACATCCTTCACTTAGGAAGAACTTACCAGTGATTTCGACTTTTTTCAGTACTACATCTAGTCACAACGCGATAAAAACTGTAACAGTCATTGGTAGTGGACTTATGGGTTCTGGAATTGCTCAGGTACATTCGTAAATGAACAGAAGAAATTCATACATCATCAAATAAATTGATGCATTTTTTTTGTGGAAATCTATGAATCAATTTTCAGGGTTTTTTTGTGTCACATCGTGCTCCATTGAATCAATGAGCCTTTTCAGGTTTGCGTGAGTTGGCAATTATGAATGGACATGTGATGACCTTGAACAACCTCTAGGTTATGAATGAACCTATTCTTAACTCCTTCATCACCGGAAGATTGTCAAATTTTACACCTTTTCTCATTGCAAACTGTGATTGGTGTTCCGTTCTCGCCGATTCGATTTTCAACAATTTTGAAATTGTTGAATTGAACATGAACATGATCAATATATCTTGACGTCCTGATTTCCTATTGTTATAATGCACGTAGTTTTTTAAAATACTTCTTTGACTTTAAAAAAGTGCGACCTTCATTTCTTAAAGTGATATTGGAATATGCTTAGCAGAAGAGGGAGGTTAACCCTGTGGGAGATTTTTTAGTTTTCTTTTGTGCAGCTTATAGACACAAGTTTTACTCTGCCATATCAGCACATTATCAGAAAGACAGGCGATGAGAGATTTTACCCTTCGACCTGTAAGAGTTACTAGCATCTAAATTTCTCCAAAAAATATCACTTGGAACACTGCATTAAGGTCACAAGGATAGAGGAAATGATTACCATCTGAAGAGCTCATGATCATTACACAAATTATCCTTATTGGCACCACAGCAAATGTATAGAGAACAGTATGGAGAATTTTTATGCTGATGTTTGGGTGTAATAGGAGTAGTAGAAGAGTTTTTTTGTTTATAGGTCAATTTGAAACTTTTGAATCTTGGATTAATTTTTAGGTAGCAGCAGCCACAAATCACAAGGTGACAATGGTGGATCAAACAGACGCAATTTTGACAAAATCTTTGAATGCCATTGAGAAAAGCTTAGAGAAAGTTTCAAAGAAGAAATTTAAGGATGATCCTGAGGTAGTGTTTTAAAATTATCTAATATTTTTTAGCGATATTTTGAGATCCCAGGCAATAACCTCTTAACCTCTTAAAGCTTGTCTGGAAATGTGTTTGAAATTTAAGTACCACTGCCATTGTTTGAAATTTGCATAACAACCAGGATATTATTTACCAGATTTAACAAATACTCGATCCTTTTTTTCTTTTCCTGGTGACCTGTTAAAATTTTTAGGAAATACAAGAAAGGGTATTCTTGACTCAAAATTATTAGTTTTGGCAATAACAACAGTTCAAACTGTTGGCAAGTTTTGCCTTTTGATTTTGTGTAAGCAGACAGGTCATGACGAGCTTTGCATTGGGAAAAAAATTTATGCAAGTTAACTGGCTGCACATTCAATGTGCAGCCAGCTAATTTGCACAAGTAATTCAAGGCAAGGTTTGACACCTTGGTGGCATGAGGTGTTTGCTGAACATTCCAGGACATCTGATAATCACTACAAAAAAGTTAATAAAGCTCCCCTTGAATGAAATGGAAAAAACTGCAACTTCCGATAATTACATTTCTAATCATTTTCCAGATACAACTCTACTTTGTTCACTCGTTTTCCAGAAACAAGAGTCCAGAGAAATGCCTCATACAAACTTAACGGGTCTAATTCGAAAAAACCCAAGGGCAGTACACTAAGCTTATTTTCTTAGTAGAAACAGTGCTTGTCTTAAAGAAGACAACAGTAAATTGTTAACACAAGGTCCACAACTAGTTCTGACCAAATAAACATAGGTGGAACAATTTAAAACAGGTAAAAAGAAGAAACTCAAAAATGGCCTAAAAAGCAGTATCAGTTAAGCTGATTTCACCTCCATGATCAAAGACCCAGACCTGTACAAGGCTAGCACCGACAAACCCTTCTTTATACAGGTCATGGAACTTGAACTTTTAAAGTCCAGAAACTGTGTTGATTAGATAATCCAGAGAATACACATTGCTTTCAACTGATGGTCTCCCTGTTCAGTCTACAAGCTTTGGCGCAATGCAATTATTCATATTATGACCTTTTATGTGGAAAGGTTTTGGAATGGCATTTTTAGCTTTTCTGAAGACATCACTCAAGCCAAAATTGACTATAACAGGGTAGAAGCTGGTCTTTGCATTTTCCTTAAACACCTTTATTGCATTTTAGGTAATTTTGAGTAAATTCACTCGTATGAATATCATTTAACATGACTGCTGTGTTAGTAGGGTAAAGAAGAGCTTAAAAATAACCCTCAAGTATACACTACCCAGGAGGGTATGCAAGAGATTAAAAATAACCCTCAGGTATACACTACCCAGGAGGGTATGCAGGAGATTAAAAATAACCCTCAGGTATACACTACCCAAGAAGGTATAGAAGAGATTAAAAATTAATCCTCAGGTATACACTACCCAAGAGGGTATGCAAGAGATTAAAAAAACCCTCAAGTATGCACTACTCAAGAGGGTATAGAAGAAATTAAAAATAATCCTCAGGTATACACTACCCAAGAGGGTATGCGAGAGATTAAAAATAACCCTCAGGTATACACTACCCAAGAGGGTATAGGAGAGATTAAATATAACCCTCAGGTATACACTACCCAAGAGAGTGTAGAAGAGATTAGAAATAACCCTCAGGTATACACTACCCAAGAGGGTAAAGAAGAGATTAAAAATAACCCTCAGGTATACACCACCCAGGAGGGTATGCAAGAGTTTTAAAAAACCCTCAGGTATATATTAACCAAGAGAGTAAAGGAGAGATTAAAAATGACCCTCAGGTATACACTACCCAGGAGGATATTGGAGAGATTAAAAATAACCCTAAGGTGAACCTAAAACTTGTAATCAACAGGTTTAAGTAACTGCATAGACACCTACCGACCGCAAATGTTAATGCAGAATGCATGCTGCAATTTTTTTTCGGGGCCAAAGCTCCTTGCTTAATCCTTTAACTTGTAAGATCTGATCGTTAATTCTCCCCACTGGCTGCTCCACATTTCCTCGTAACTTAGTTAAGAGAATTTAATTTTAGATCAAGATGACAACTTCTACCTAGGAAGCGTAAGTATTCTCGTTACCTGTTTGCTGGATAGTGTATGGATATTATTGGGAGAAGTTGCATTTTGATCACTGCTGGGAGTTAAAAGGTTAATGGTTTTCAAAGTGGGCATGAGAGAAAGACATCAATTACTAAATTTTGTTTTGTTGTGAAGATCTCATAACATCCACTCAGTAATTGAGTTGAATTTGCTTGCAGGCTGGAAAACAATTTGTGACTGATACTCTCTCAAGGATCACAATAAGCACAGATCCTGCAGCTAACATTGCTGAAACAGATCTCTTGATAGAAGCCATTGTTGAGAATATGCGTGTAAAGCACAATCTCTTTGCAGAACTTGATAAAGCTGCACCCAGGTATACTAACATTGTAGCTACATGAACTTAATTTTTATTACTTTCTATATTAAATATTGAGCTGCAAATAGCCTTAGGAGTTCTGATAGTGATTATCAAGACTTTTTTGCCCTTTGAACCCAAAGAATGACTGGCATCTAGTTTCTTCCCATATTATCACCTCTAAATCACATGTGAAGGTCATGATCAAGTAAAGGAAATGATTACCGACTGAAGAAGTTCTTGGCTTTTGAAACAAATTCTCCTCGTCAGCACTGAAGAGAACATGTAGAGAGAAGTATGGAGATTATGCATACTAATAAAAAGGTGTAAAGGGCAAAACATATCCCTCATGAAACTGTGGGCTCAAAGTATTATGGTGAATTATGTGGCTGTCAAAATAATGTCAAGAGTAATTTATTTTTTTTACCACAATTGGCAGTAATGTGGCAATCTGATTGGCCAATTTGCTGTTTCGGATAAGAGTACAAACAATAGACGGTTAAGAATATATGAAAGTCATATATAGTACAAACAATGCTGCTTACATCAATGTGTCATGCAATGGTCATGCATTGAAAGAATCTTTTTTTAACATTGATATTGTGACCGTGCTTGGTGAGTCCACAACAGTTTTACCACAGGGATGACAAATATTGTTGTCAATAAGAGCACAGACCATGCTAACCCACAAATGATTTGTACAATGACTGATGATTTGATTTAACTAATTTAACTCAAAATCTCAAAAATCCAGTGATGAGCTTTTAATCTAAGAACCTGTCCTTACTTATGGATTTGTGGAAGGAAATAAAGAGAGAGGGATTGAAAAGAGAAACACTGGAAAACAATCACCACAAAAGAGCTGGGGACTGTTAAGGAGCAACTGCCACAACAGTGCTCCAGAATTATGATTCTGCTAAATGGATG